ACCAACAAAACTGCTGCCCAGTCCTGCCCATGATGAAAAGCTGAGGGATGTTTAGAATAATTTTTAACAAACATTTAAGTGGGCATTTGGAAGCCATGCTCAGGCATTATGCAGCTCAAAACATTAGAAAATGGACTATGCTGAAGTCCACATAAGCTGGAACTTTTTGAAGTTCAGCTGAAGCTGAACATCTTAGAAGACAATTTTGCAAAGAAGCAGGAAAGCATTAGACTCCAGCTGTTCGGATCCCACCAGCCTTGTTCTTGTAAGCCCTGTTCACACAAGGCTGCAGCTCACCTTCCAGCACTCGGCAAACTGCCCACTGTGACAAGCAAAAAACATGAAAACCATCAATAATGTGATGTCTGTTGGCTCTCAGATCCTGTTATTTACAGGTCTTTGGGTGGCCTGGCTGGAAGTCACCTTTCCTGCAGGGTCCCCAAGCGGTGCCAGGTCCTGGAGAGGACAAACATACTGTCGCTTGGGATGAACTGCAGGAGTGACGAGACATAAGGAAGGAGCACAGTCGGGGCAAATTCTGTACAGACAGGACCTTCACAGCAGAGTCCAGCCTCCAACAAGATGAGAACATGAAGCCTAAAGACAGACAACTACTTCTCGGGACCCCAGCTGGCTCAGCAGTTTGCAGTCCTTTCCAGTCACTCGCTCCAACATGCCGGTCACATGTTTTACAGAAACCTAGATTTCTATCTTGCTGACAGCTTTATTGTACATTATTCTGACAGGTAACCAAACCAAGACTGATTCTTGTCAGCTCAGTCGAGCTAGATTTTATCCTCCGAGATCCCAAAGATCCACATCCTGCAGCAAAGCCTTCCCTTCCTCCTGGGGCTGCTATCAGGCTGAAGAACAGAGTATGAAGACGAGCACTGATCAGAGGTCACCAGCAGCGCTCTGCATCCTCTCCCCCACTCCCTGTTTAGAATAAAGGTCAGTAGGTCTCCTTCCACTCCTGTGCACGTATCCTGTCCTCACCATCAGAGCTGACAGCTCAGCCAGCCTCTTCCAGCTGCTGCCCAGCGCTCCGCTTGAAACCCAGCACATGCGTTCCAAGCTGCAAATGTTCACTTAGTTTTCAAACTGAAGTCACACCCCCAGTGCTTTATCTGAACTAACCGTGATACCGCTTGGAGAGGTCTCAAAATGGCCATGGAGTAGATGAACAGTCCTGAAGGGCATCTTAACACCTGTAGGAGGACAACAGGTCAAACGCCCTGCCCACACGGGCAGCCCAGTCCTCAGGACGAGCGCGGCTGGGGCTCTGCCCTCCACCTGCAGATCTTCATTGTGTCCCAACGTACACAAACCCATGTTCACCTTCACAGCCCTGGGTGAACGATGACTGTCCCACCACAGCAGCTCTAGTTGCACAAGATTGCTGGGAACCCATTTTTGATTCTGACACAGGAACAGCATTTCTCTCTCTCCCTCATCATCTCAAGATCCAGCTCCAACCCCAAAACAAACAGATGCTTCACATACTTGAAGTGTCTGGAAGGAGCAATAAAGCTATTTTTCCTGAAGGGCCTTGAACACCAGCAGCGATCCTCAGGACATAGCAAAGTCACAAGTCCTGCAGCCGCCGCCAGCAGCTGTGCAGCCAAGAGCAGGGGGCTGGAGCTCCCTCCACGCAGACCAGAGCAGCGCTGGAATCCACTCCCACCCTGTCCCAGCCACCCTCCCACTCCAAAAAGCCAGAGAGGATGTGGACCGGAGGACGTGGACTGAGTGGGCTCCATTTTGCTGGCATCTCTACCGCAGCCAGGCAATCAGTGGCCGGACAAGGGGATGGAAAAGGGAGGCCGAATTTCCGCATTTGAAGAAAAACACAATTTGCATCTCACAGAACAATCAGTCTAACTGCCACAACTGCTTCTCTCCCTGCTAATAAATCATTAGCCCTGACTGTAAGCACAGACACCCCCGATCT